GTGATCTCCATGTGATCGACTAAAGGGAGATGGTGTGATCTCCATGTGATGTACTAGAGGGAGATGGTGTGATCTCCATGTGATCGACTAAAGGGAGATGGTGTGATCTCCATGTGATGGACTAGAGGGAGATGATGTGATCTCCATGTGATCGACTAAAGGGAGATGGTGTGATCTCCATGTGATCGACTAAAGGGAGATGGTGTGATCTCCATGTGATCGACTAAAGGGAGATGGTGTGATCTCCATGTGATGTACTAGAGGGAGATGGTGTGATCTCCATGTGATCGACTAAAGGGAGATGGTGTGATCTCCATGTGATGGACTAGAGGGAGATGATGTGATCTCCATGTGATCGACTAAAGGGAGATGGTGTGATCTCCATGTGATCGACTAAAGGGAGATGGTGTGATCTCCATGTGATAGACTAGAGGGAGATAGTGTGATCTCCATGTGGCGCAAGCGACGCGGCACCGCCCTACGGGTCAGGCCTGAAACTAAATTAAATAAATAAGGACGAGTAAATAATATACAATTGGCCGTTCCCCCGGCAACAAATTAAAATGTGAGCGGATATGCCGCATTAATTATCGCGCATCACCCGCAGCTGTCGGAAGGCGGAGGGGTGGTTTTTGTGCGCACGCGCGTACCACCGCTACAGCTGCTGCTTGTGGTGTTGGTGCGCACGCGGTTCCTCACAGATGCGTTCATCAGACCTCGCTCGAGCAGGGTTGGTTGTAGTTGCAGATGCGGGTGGGTGACAGGTGTGGTATGGGGAGGGGGTGCCGGAGATCGCCCGATCCGACCGATCGTCACGTTCTCGGGGATGGCGATTCCAATCCGCGGTGTATTCATTCTTCGTGCCTCGTTTTGGCCACTCTCCTTTACTCTGTCTCGTTTGTAAAAAAAAAAGCAAAAAAATGTGGATTGAATCCTCCCCCCCCCCCCCGCTTAAGTATGATGTTGCCACATCGCTTGGCAGATAATTTGCGTGCAACGTTGATCATTGGTTCTCGCGTGCATGGGTCCCTTGCGCGTCGTGGGCACAAGAGGAATTTTAAAAGATCGTGAGAAGAAAAATTCCCGATTTTGTCCGGACGATTGTGCGATTAGGGTAGGGGGTGGTGGCGTCGCGTCGTCAAGAGGAGACGAATTCCGTCCGGAAAATCTCCCACAGAGCGGTGGCGCCACCCAGGCAGCGCCAGCGATTGGCTGCGGGGAAGCGGACATCACAGAGCTACCTCTGAGATCTCTGCACGTGACCTGCCCCACGCACTCTGCCATGAGATCCGATCATTCCTCATACACCCCACCATCGCCCCCCCCCCCATGCCCCTCCATGTTAAAGAACGGGCTTTTAAATAAATAAATAAATAAATAGACACCACCTTAAATATTGTTCGGCACTGGGTGGAAAGGTGGTAGTCTCTTCCTCTGTGTGTGTGTGTGTACTCGCTAATAGCAGTTGCCCCAACGATCTCTTCAGGCTATAGGGTTGAGTGGATGGGGATCTTTGTCGTTGAATCAGAGGTCACGAGGGAGGGGAGGGGAGGCGAGGCGAGGCGAGGTAATTGGAGGGGATCGTGATTCGCTGGCCTGCCGCAGTTCCAGCCCATCCCCTTCGCTCATCCTCTCACAATTGGTCTCGCATGCGCGCAGCACAACGACACACAGCTGGTACCAGCCGTGTCAAGATCGGCCTCGGTGGAGAAGGGATCTCAGAAGCTGTAACAGCGGTAGCTCCGCGAATCCCGCTTACTCGGCCCATTCTCTGGCGCTGCTCTGCGGCAGGGGAGGGCGGTAAGAGATCTGAGAACTGAGCTAACCCGCCGGAGGCCGTAGGACTGCGAGGAGGACTGGATGCAGATGCAGCACTTGTCGTAGTAAAAAAAAAAAGAACATGAAAAAATATTACGTAGAAAACACGGGGAACATAGACATAGAGTGGGGAGAGAGGGGGTAGAGAGAGAGTCGGGGGGGGGGGGGTAGAGAGAGAGATGGAAGGGGTAAGAAGGATGAGAGCAGAGCGTGAAATCTTTCGTGAAATATTTCAGTGGGGGGGGGGGGGGGGTGGGGGGGGGGTTACATAAAGCAAAGCATTGAAAAAAACCGAAATGATGAACGAAGCAAAGTGCCGACTACACCGAGCATCTTCTCGTTTCCTCTGATGGTGAAAACAAAAAAATAACAAAAACAAAAACAGAGAGCGGAGAGGGAGGGGAGTGGTGGCACGTCGGCCTATCCGCGCGTGCTCCGTCACGCCTCGCAAAGGTCGCTGACGCGCGCCCATCTCCACCGCACCGCTGTCCCTGTGACCTTTGTTAGACCGTCGCTTGCAAAACAATAGCTCGCGAGTGTCATCTGACGGAGGAGGAAATAATGAAGTTCAATTGATGGAAATAATGGGGTCCACTGAGATAAGGATTTTTGTTTTTCCCATTGTTGTTGTTGTTGTTGCGAATGCCAATATCTCTCCTCATCCGAAAACTCCGTGAGTCTGTTCCGTCGCGATTCAGCAGCAACGCCACGGAGCGCCACGGTCGCAGGCACGCGCGAGACACAGAGGGAGGGAGGCCAGGGCATCGTCCCGGCTCAGAGAACTCACCACTCATCGCCAAACACATCCACGTGATCCAATACGACACGGACAGACTCCTCACCGCGACTCGATCCCCACACCCGTTCCCGATTAGATCACAGATCAACCGCAAAATGACACTCTTCAAGATCCTCCGCGGACTCAGTTCTGCATCTCTCTCATCTCACTCCACTCCCCTCCACGCACTCTCCCACCTCTCCCCTCTCATCTCGCTCCACTCCCCTCCACGCACTCTCCCACCTCTCCCCTCTCATCTCACTCCACTCCCCTCCACTCACTCTCCTACCTCTCCCCTCTCATCTCACTCCACTCACTCTCCTACCTCTCCCCTCTCATCTCACTCCCCTCTCATCTCCACGCCCACCACGAAGTGCAGAATTGGACCGGCGGCACTTGAGCCGTCGCTCGATGCAAACGCGACCGCGGTCCCTCCGTGGCGACTCCCCCATCACACGTCCGCACGCCAGATTGCATTTCGGCTGCGACGTTTCCGGAATATCGCCAAATAATTGCCGCCCGGGGAGGGGGGGAGGGGTTAATCGACTTACGAGCAAGCGAACGGTGGAGGTGCGGGGGGTGTGGCGAGTTTTTTCTCGTCTGCGTAATTCACTTTAGAACATATCCTACAAGGGGAGTGCAATTCCACCCCGGAATGCGAGTGTTGCTAACGCGGTTATTTTGTCGAACGTTTCAACCGCCGTGTAAATCTACACGAAGGCAAAAGACCCCTCCCCTCCCCCGTATAGCCTCGACAGGCTTTTGGGGCAAGTGCTCTTAGCAGGTGACGCCCTGGAAGGTCGCCACGGCGCACCAAGTGGTGGGCGACCGACGCCACGCCCCACCGCCTTTGTCTCCCCAGTGGCGATGCTTACACACCGCACCAGGTTGCTCATTTGAGGCTGAGCCGACCTAGAAGAGGCCCCGGCATCGGAGCGGACAATCGTCACCGGCTGCGCGTGTTCGATGGCGCGACGTCCGACGTTTCGCGCCACGTGCCCGCGGGAGCCCTCCTTCGAGTGAAGCTCACTTTTGGATCCTGACCAAGGCCGAACGGGAGAGGGCTGCAGCCCGCTGCCTGGCCGGCCCGTGCCTGTCTGAGCCAGTGAAACTTGATCTATCACGCACAATACGTGCTTTTTTTATATGTCAACCCTCACCGGCGTATTCCCGGAGCGCGGTGACGTTTCGTGAATTGACCTCGGCGACCCGCGCGCCACCGCGAGGGAGGCCTTCATCCGGCGGTGGATTGACAAAGGGGGGCGGGGGGCGGCGGGGGGAGGGGGGGTTGTGCCTCCCTCGGTCTGCGAGGGCGATGATGGTGAAGATGGCCCATTTATGAGGTGCGGGAGAGGGGTGGGGGTGGGGGTGGGGGTGTTATGTTTTTAATTTCGTCGACGTTGATCTTGCATGCAAAGGTTACCAACGCATGTGTGTGTGGGGGGGGGGGGGAGAGGGGGGGGCATCTCGCGGGGGCCCTGGAGGTTCACCATTTGCTGCACGGCGAGAGGCCGTTTGGTCCGCTCGGCGTGCGCTTTCGTGCGCGCGTCACCGCTCCCCAGTGCCGACGTCACCGCTCCCCAGTGCCGACGTCACCGCTCCCCAATGCCGACGTCACCGCTCCCCCAATGCCGACGTCACCGCTCCCCCAGTGCCGACGTCACCGCTCCCCCAGTGCCGACGTCACCGCTCCCCAATGCCGACGTCACAATCAAAATATCACCCGCGCGCACAAAGACAACGATCCCCCACCCACCCCCCCCCCCCCCCGTACAGCCGGTAAGAGACTGTCGGGGCTCAGTACTGTTAGCGAGGACCAGCGAAGTCCGGCACGGCACACCGCAGGGGCGGGTTGGCCAACATCGCGCGCGGCCGCCTTTGTCTCCCCAATGCTGATGTTTACACGACGCACATCTGAGGCCAAGTGGACCGGTTCAAATTTTCGCCGTCACTGTCATTGGGCCGTGAGCGCGAGTCAAAGGCGGTGGCGCGCTTACCCGCTGCACCACCGCTCCCCACTCCCTCACACAAACAAAGACAAATATCGCCCGATAGCCTTAACATACTATAGGGGCAAGTGCTGTTAGAGAGCACCTATGAAGGCCGGCACGGCACACGAGGGGGTGCTTGGCCAGCACCACGCCCGGTCGCCTTTGTTTCCCCAGTGGCGATGTTTACACACCGCACCGGGTACTCAGTTGAGGATGAGTCGACCTAGGGGAGGCCCAGGACCGGTTCAGATAATCGTCACTGGGTGTCAGCCTTGAGCGAGAATCGAACTCGGGTAGTTTAGCGCGAACCTTTACACTACTCGAGCTAACCGCTACACTACCCGCTACACTACCGCGCCCACTCACACTCCCCCACACTCACACTTTCCCCCCCCCTCCCTCTCTCACCGCAGATCATATCGCCTGAGTACTTCATCCACGCACTCTTCTGCCTCATGTTCCTCTGCGCCATGGAGTGGCTCACGCTCAGCCTCAACACTCCGCTGCTGTGCTACCACGTGTGGAGGTGAGAGCGAGCCATGCTCACCACCACCAACAGCATCCTCACCACCACCACCGCCATCCTCACCACCAACACCATTCTCCCCATGATCCTCATCCTCACCAAAATCCTCCCCACCATCCTCACCATTCCACACCACAAACCTCATCACCATCCTCATCCTCACCACTATCCTCATCCTCACCACCATCCTCACCATCATCCTCATCCTCACCACCATCCTCACCACGAACCTCATCCTCACAATGCTCACTACGATCCTTACTATCCTCACGCTCATTCATACGTAACCACGCCACGCGCAAGACAGGCACCGGAACATTCGGTCACATCGAACAGCAGCAACGTGTTCAGCCGCTCGTTGCAGAGGTTTGTGGTTCGAGCCCAGCGACCACCCTGGTTAATTATGCGGTGCGCGACTTTAACTATAACAAAACAAAACAATCCTACTCCGTGCCCGTGTCCGCTTTACTCAGAGTGGCCGCCATCAGAGATCCCTGCAACGTCATTCAAAAAGGACCAGGCCATTTTCTTTCTTCTGCCCGCATCGCGGACCCTCAATATTCCAAACGTGAAAATTGTATCTGCGAAAAAGAGCAACTGGGATGCCACATAGCAAACAACGCCCCCCACCCCCCATCTACTGACCAAACCGCTACCACGCTTTTTAATTGCCCCTCGTCTCCTGGCCAATCTGCTTTCCCACCTTCTAACTGCTCCCCATCTATTAGCCAATCCGCTACCACGCTTTCTAACTGCCCCCCGTCTCCTGGCCAATCCGCTGCTATGCTTTCTAACTGCTCCCCATCTATTAGCCAATCCGCTACCACGCTTTCTAACTGCTCCTCGTCTCCTGGCCAATCCGCCTTCCCACTTTCTAACTGCCCTCCGTCTCCTGGTCAATCCGCTACCCCACTTTCTATCTGCCCCTGTCTCTTGGTCCTTCGCCTACCAAACTTTCTAACTGCCCCCCGTCTCCTTTGCGAATTCACGCGGCCCTCAACTTGAAATAGTACTCCGCAAAAAACACACAACTGGGATGCCACGTAGCAATCAACACCCCCCCCCCCCCCCCGCCTTCCCCTTACTCGGAAAACTTGATAGAACCCTCATGAGGCTTTCCTGGGTCAAAACAAGCGGAATAATAATGATGATGATGATACAATACGATAACAATTCATAACATCGAACAGACGTGGAGGAGGTGGCCGGGAGTGGTTCAGAAATCTCTGAGGCAGCTCGGAACGAGACCGTGATGGATGTAGTCATGCGGGACATGAAATTATAGCACGTTAACAACGTCAATCCACACGTCCCTCCCTCCCTCCCTCTCGCATTGTACCAGGATTTGTTGCCCCATCACCGCGTCGTTCACGGAAGTTGATTGGCTATAACTTCACCACGCTGGTCAATTCAGATGTCGCTCGCTACCGATGTCAGCCATGGCCAGGAACCGAACTCGGTTTGGGTGGGTTTGCAGCAAAAACAGTGCGCTAACTGCTATGCCCTGAACAATCACGCGTGCACTTGAAAGGGAGTCCACACAGACAAGTGCTTAGAGTGTGGGAAGGGCGAGAGTTTATTCAGCCCACGACATGCGCACTCGTTCGCTCGCTCACCAGGAGCTACATCTCAAATGTGCCCCCAAATCCCGTTGCGGCCCCCCTCCCTTTCATACTAATTCAAGCTTATTCTTTGGGTCTTTCGGTAAAGTCACATGGATAGGTTCCAAAAAGTAATAGAATAAACAAAAAAACTTCGACGTTTCGATCGCAACGCAAGCGACCGTCATCAGGTGGGGGGGGGGATGCCACTAAGCGCAAGCTGTTTAAAGGTGTAAACTAATTCAAGCTCTCTGTCAACGTTTCACAACTGCCCCCCCCCCCATCTCTTAGTCAATTCGCTGCCCTGCTTACGAACTGCCCCCATCATCTGGCCATTCAGCTACCATTCTTTCTAACTGCTCCCCATCTCCAGGCCATTCAGCTACCATTCTTTCTAACTGCTCCCATCTCCAGGCCAATCAGCTACCATTCTTTCTAACTGCTCCCCATCTCCAGGCCAATCAGCTACCATGCTTTCTAACTGCCCTCATCTCCTGGTCAATCCGCTTCCCTGCTTTCTAACTGCCCTCATCTCCTGGCCAATCCGCTTCCCTGCTTTCTAACTGCCCACCCCCCATCTCCTGGCCAATCGGCTGCCACAATTTATAACTTTCCGCCCGTTTCCTGGCCAATTCACTGCCCTGAATTTTCCCTTCAAATTTTCCCAGGCTTCCACCTTTTCAAATTCTCAGCCAATGAGGTCAGACCGCACTACGCCCAACCAATCCGGTGTGCACACTGTCCGTTCGGCAATCAAATCGTACAGGCTGACAGCTGGCCAATGGCAATGAGGCTGCCAGATTTCAAATAGCGAGGCCGTTGAGATCCGCCGAATGTGATGGCGAAATTACGAACGAATAGGGGTACGCCTTTCACTGACCCTTACACACGTAAGCACTCAAACTCCCACACATTACATAATGGGCAATTAGCACGTGCAAATTGTTAGTTTCCACTTTACTCAAAATAAGTTACAACTTGTCAGCAGTGGGGTTACTGAGTGTTGATTGTACGGGGATGTAGCTGCGGGTGATCACTGGTAGACCTGTGAAGGCGTGATGTGTATCACGCACCCAAACTCCCCGGGGCATCAGTCACCTTCACACTGCTCTTCTATCGCTACTACCACGGCCACTGGTCCCATGAACTTTGCTCATTGATAACTCTACCAATGTTGAGCATTGGGTCTACCAGACCTAATGTCACATCTTATCTGCCCACATACTGTGATCAACCACCACGGTGCAGGCCACAATGACTCACTCACTCACGAAAACCAACGCTCACCCACTCGCTCAGCCAACCGCCCTACCGCAAGGCACGTGCGTGTATGTTCGTGTCTTTGTCCCATGTGTGTTCGTCTCTGCAGTGCATGTTTTTCTTGCTTTTATTGCTCAATTTGTCTGCGGTGTGCGTGTGTGTGCATCGGTAGTGGGGAGCGGTAGTAGAGCAGTTAGCATGCCGCGCAATGAACCCGGCGACCCAAGTTCGATTCCTGCTCACGGCCAACACCAGTGACGATTATCTGAACCGGTCCTGGGCCTCCTCTGGGTCGAAACAGCCTCAAATGGGTACCTGGTGTGGTGTGTAAAAAACATTCCCCACTGGGAAGACAAAGGCGGCCGGGTGTGGTGCTGGCCACCCACCCCCTACCATTCCGGCCTTCATAGGTGCTCACGAACAGCACTTGCCCCAACAATCTGTTACGGCTATACGGGGGATCGTTGAAGAAAAAAATGTCTGTAGGTATGGGTGTTTCGCTAACAACACTTGCCCGAACAGTCTGTTAAAGCTCTATGGGCGGTCTTTGTGTAGGTATGGGGAGCGGTAGCGCCGCTGTTAACGCACTGCACTACGAAGTCGGCGACCCAAGTTCAATTCCCGCTCCACGGTCTTCATGGTGCTCTGCTCTCAAACGGCACTCGCCCCAACAGTCCCTTGAAGGTTATCCCGGGGGTGTGTGTGTGTGGGGGGGGGGGGGGTCTTTGTCTTTTTGTGTGTCTGTAGGTACTTCCACAGGCCTCTGTTAGACGGCCTGTACAGCCCCACGAGCCTGACGAACGTGGAGGTGCTGGGCTACTGCCAACGGGAAGGCTGGCTCAAGCTTGGCTTTTACCTTCTCTCCTTCTTCTATTACCTCTACAAGTGAGTGTCCACTAACCCCCACCGCACCCCTGCCCACCTCCACCTCCCTAGCTCACCCAACACTAAAGTGGTGGCCTGGCATGGTTTTGGTCACCCACCCGCTCGTGTGCCGTGCCGGCACTTCGTAGGTGCTCACTAAGAGCACTTGACCCCGAAAGCATGTTAAGGCTATACAGGAGATCTTTGTCTTTGTTTTTTTTTGTGGGGAGGGGCGGGGTGCATGTGCTAATGAGTGCATCTATGAGCGTATGGGGAGCGGTGGTGTAGTGGTTAGTGTACCGGGCTACGATCCCGAAGTCCCCGGTTCGAATCCCGCTCACGGCCAATACCAGTGACGATTATTTGAACCTCGTCCTGAGCCTCCCCTAGGTCGACTCAGCCACTGGTGAGACAAAGGCGGCCGGGCGTGGTGCCGGCTACACACCCCCTCGTGTGCCGTGCCGGCCTTCATAGGTGCTCGCGAACAGCACTTGCCCCCAACAGTCTGTTAAGGCACTTCCGAGTAGCACGGTTGGCTTCGTATGATGCGACAGAAATTCAACATACACACACGTACACATTCAAGGCTCGACGAGGGGATCTCTCTTGTGTATGTGAGTGGGAGGACGTCAAACGCGGGTAATTGAATGATTGATGCCTTCCTTTTGCTACTCACATTCGCGGCAATAAACACCGCTGATGTGAAGCTCTGTGGAAAATCGCAGCTGCCCCCATTTCTCTTTGAGATGCCACGCACGCGCGCGTTTGTTTGCTTGGCGAAGTTTATATAAAGTCGTAAAAACTAACTACTTATAAAATATTAATAGTTCGTTTTTGTTATTTTATTCATCAATTATTACCAATAACAAAGTTATAACAAAGTTATTGGTAATAATTGTGTGCATGTTATGAAAGTTTACAACTTATAGAAGCAAAATATAAAAAATATCAACATTGAGAAACTGAACAAAAGTCATTATTTTTGCCTGTAGTCCCTGGCCTTAACTAATAATCTTAACAGGTACATGAACAATACATTGAGGGTAAAGTTAGCACTTTAGATATCTTTACTGAACAGAAATAATACAGAACCACCAGTACTTGCCTCACCTGCCACTAAATGATCATGAACAAACAAGCTGCTAGAGTCAGAAGGAAAACAGAGAGCGCCAATCTATTCCAGACCTAACTAAGTCACTGAAATTGAAGAACAAGCGTGAATGAATGCAAGAACATGTATGAAATACATGCCTTGGGGACAAACATGCATTTTGTAAATTATTTATTGTCTTAATTAACAGCAGAGCCGTTGGAATGCTTTATTTGTAACGTCCGGACAAATAGGCGCGATTGTGATAGGTGCAAAAAACAGGTTTCCTGCGAGAAAAATTAAACAGCTGCTCATTTGTCAAGGTTGTCGTGTATTATTTTACTTATGTTGATGTAACAAATGAAATGGCACCATGGAAGTTTTGCCACCTTGGATGGTACCGATATCTGGTCTGGCCCAATGACTATCAACTCGCTGTACTTCAGAATTCAGTTTAATCACAACTGGGCCTCTCGGTCTCTATGTGAGCCTGTGGGTCTCGATGTGAGTCGCTGGGTCTTTATGTGAACCTGTGGGTCTCTATATCAGTCTGTGGGTCTCTATGTGAGTCTATGGGTTTCTGTGAGTCTATGGGTCTTTATGTGAGTTTAAGGGTCTCTGTGTGAGTCTATGGATCTCTATGTAAGTCTATGAGTCTCTATGTGAGTGTGGGTCTCTATGTGAGTATATAGGTCTCTATGTGAGTCTATGAATCACTGCGTGAGTCTCTGGGTCTTTATACGAGTCTATGGTCCCTATGTGAGTATGGGTCTCTATGTGAGTATGGGTCTCTATGTGAGTATGGGTCTCTATGTGAATATATGGGTCTCTATGTGAGTCTGTGAGTCTTTGTGTGAGTCTATGGGTCTCTATGTGAGTATAAGGGTCTCTGTGTGAGTCTATGGATCCCTATGTAAGTCTATTAGTCTTTATGTGAGTGTGGGTCTCTATGTGAGTATATAGGTCTCTATGTGAGTCTATGAATCACTGCGTGAGTCTCTGGGTCTTTATACGAGTCTATGGTCCCTATGTGAGTATGGGTCTCTATGTGAGTATGGGTCTCTATGTGAATATATGGGTATCTATGTGAGTCTTTGTGTGAGTCTATGGGTCTCTATGTGAGTCATTGTTGACTGGGCTGAGACCATATCGCTGCCCTTGAGAACCCGGTACAATCGCAGGCAGCGGCTGAAACCAGGATTTGAACCCAGGATTTTCAGCTGCACCGGGTCAGCACTAAGCCACCCACCTGCCCCTTTTGAGTGTGGATCTTCCAAACACGACCACATAATCAACGGCGAGTGATCCCTGAACCCAGTTCAGTGCTCCATGAACCCAGTTCAGTGATCCCTGAACCCAGTTGAGTGATCCATGAACCCAGTTTGGACCCTGAACCTAGTTCAATACTCCATTAACCCAATTTTAGACTTGGCAGCCCTTGAATTAGTGGAAGGCCACCGCCAGGACCATCGCTGCCCACTACTTACCATCACCACTAGCAGCAGCCCTTTATTGGTGGTTGCCCACCACCTGTACCATCATTACCCACTACTACCATCACCTTTAGCAGCAGCAAACTCCACCGTCAACAGCGTGAGTGTGTAAAGCGAGGTGCAATGATTACCTGGCAGCCCTTTAATTGGTGGAAACCCACCACCAACGGCGCCATTGCCCATCACTTACATTAACATTAGCTGCCCCGCCCATGCTGCTGACACTTGGGCTACGCCCATTTTAAACCTTTATACAGAGTTCGCCTTTAGAGGCTGACCCCCTTTTCCTGATGACGACCGCTTGTGTTGCGATCGAAACGTCGCGTTTTTTTATTTTATTTTTTTACTATTTTTATTGTTTTTATTCACTTCATTATTCTTTTTCTATCTACATGACTTTACCGAAAGAACCAAAGCATATCCATTAACCCAGTTCAGTGATCCATAAACCCAGTTTGGACCCTGAAGCTAGTTCAATACTCCATTAACCCAGTTCGGATCCCTGTGCCCAGTCCAGTGACCTCTGAACCCAGTTCAGAGATCACTCGCCGCGTATTGCGGCCAACAGCACCGCGCGGTCTCTTCGGCACCTCCCAGGCGGCGGAGGCGGCGGGTGGCGGGGGTGGTGGGGACGTCGTGGCGAGGGCACGCGCCTGGCCTGACCGAGATGTCCAGATTCGGTGTTTGCTTTTCCCTTTTCTTGATTCCCTCTTTCATTGCGAACTTAAATCGCTCGTCCCTTGAGCTGTTGTCATCGTCGTTGATGTTGTTGATGCTCTTGATGTTGGATTATCAGACAGCCTCCCGCTGACATATATATATAGATGGGCATGGCGCTGGTGACAATTATCTGAACCACTCCTGGGCCTCTTACCCTCGGTCGACTCAGCCTTAAATGAGCACTTGGTACGATGTGTGAACATCAGCACTTACGCGGCCGTGCGTGGTGCTACTCGCCACCCACTCACCTCGTGTGCCCGGCCTTCGTAGGTGATTCGCGCTAACAGCACTTGCCCCAACAGTTTGTTAAGCCTATACGGGGGATCTTTGTTCTAGTGGAGGGGGGAGGGCAGACACGGCGAGACTCCCTCTCTCATGGTCCCTAGAATAATAATGATCCCACCCCACACCCTCCACGAACCCCCACCACCTCCTCCTCCCTCCACGGTGGCCGTCACCCATCGGCTGCGGATTGAAAATATTTTCTCTCTCACGATTGCCAACGCAGCGTTTTGTTGCCCACGGCGGTGTTTGATTAGCGACGTAACGGTCGCGATCAGCGCTGGAAGCTGAGTCCGTGCGTGAATCGCAATGGGAACACGCGGCTCGGATAAGTAGCGACTCTGCCCGGGAGGTCTGCGGGGGTCACACTGTGATCAATGTGTCCGGCTGTCTCTCTCGGGCGAGACTCGAATATCGACACAGCCTCGACACACCGAAGGTCCACTCGTATCGGATCAGATTCACGAGAGATACCGTGACGCCACGTTACACACACAGACACACAGTCGCTCCACTGTGACCCCACATTACACACAGACACACAGTCGCTCCACTGTGACCCCACGTTACAACAACAACAACCGCCATTCGCCACTAAGTGGCGGTGACGTCACCACGACGCTTGTGCCAGGCCATGTGCACCTTGGGGCCACGTAAAGTATCGAACGCCCCCTGACAGGAGGTCACGGGGCAGACCCAGGTGCCACGGGTGGACTGACTGAGATGACCGGCTGATGCACCACCTGTGCCCCCTACTGTGCCAACCTGCTGTGCTTTAGCCACCCGGCGCTCCACTCGTTGTTGTGAGCGTCGCTCCTCCGCAATCCGTTGTTGTTGGAGGGCGACTGCCTCCAACTGCCCAGTAGCGTCCTTCGCTAGCCTCCTCCACAGAGGCCGATCTTGACACCGCTGGTACCAGTCATCGGCAAGTCCACTCAGCTCCACGTCCTCCTGTACCACATCACTCCATTTCTTCTCTAGCCCGTGCCGCGCCCGTTTAGCCCCTTCGATCCGGCCGAACAAAAGCTGTTTCGGCATGCGGTGGTTGGGCATGCGGGCTACATTTCCCAGCCAATGCAGCCTTGCCTGCCGGAGGAGCTCACCGATGGGACCTTGCCCAGATCTTTCAAGGATTTGTGAGCTCCTCACAATCCAGCCTGGTTAAACCCAGGATGGATCGTAGGCAGGCTAGCCTAAATGTTTCTAACCAGCGAAGATGTTCCATTAAGGGGGTCCACGTGTCGCAAGCGTAGAGAAGGGAGGGAATGACCATGGCCGAGAAGACCTGAAGCTTAGTGCGGAGCGACAGACCAGATAGCTTCCACACAGCGTTATGCAACCGATGAAAAGATATTGCCGCTCGACTGATTCGGAGTGAGACCTCTGCTGTTAAACTGGAGCCTGTCAAAAGCACACTGCCCAGGTATGGGAAACTG